CCTCGTGTACTGCAGACCAGTCTCCCCTCGTGTACTGCAGACCAGACTCCCCTCGTGTACTGCAGACCAGACTCCCCTCGTGTACTCCAGACCAGACTCCCCTCGTGTACTGCAGACCAGTCTCCCCTCGTGTACTGCAGACCAGACTCCCCTCGTGTACTGCAGACCAGACTCCCTTCGTGTACTCCAGACCAGACTCCCCTCGTGTACTCCAGACCACACTCCCCTCGTGTACTCCAGACCAGTCTCCCTCATGTTGTGCTGCCTCGACCGAGGGGGAGCGCCAAAGTCCGCGGCTTTCTTTTCCACGAGAGCTTTGACTTGAGCCTGAAATTGAATTGTCTTATATTTTCGTTGGAGTCTAATCCTTCTATCGATTCTAGAAAAAAAACTAGAGTCCTCTATTTGTTCCAGTCATCGAGAGGTACATTTTTTCATAGCTAGAATTTTTAACTCGGGAGGCAAAATTCAATTAAAAACATTTTGTTGATCGTCTGTTTCTAAAACAGCGTGCGTGCAACCTTACAATCTGACACCGAGAATGAGATCATATTATGAGATGAATCTTGCGAGTTGGGCACTTTATTTCAATTTATAAGGGCTTTGACTTGGCCAACTGTGCAAGAGGTGCTTATTCTATTTTTTGTAATGACAAATAAACCTCATCAAAAAACCCGCTCAGATACGTGGGAATTAACTTGAGCAAAGATTTTACTAAAATCTTACAGAAATCTGAAGACATTGCAGTGAAAATAGATCACTACTATTGTCGTGTTCAGTATTGCACTTTTAACTATACCAGTAATGTTTAATATGAAGTGATGTATGTCATCTTTGTTCTACCATTGAATAATAGTTTGCGTGAGAGCTGTTTGAAGCTCCCCTCGCTATCCAGGATATCGTCGTCGCTTTTATCTTCACATGTGTAGAGCAGAAAACAATTGCGACGCTGTCTGCACAGTCAAGATATCGTTGCAATTTTTTTAAAATTCAAATGAAAGGACGCTACTTTTATTCTTCGTTCTTTATAATACATATTTACTTGAGATTTACATGCATGTAAAAAACATTTTTAAAATTCCACACATATTTCATGCATTTTCTTTAAATAGTCCATAAATCTTCCCTACACGAAATTATTTTTACATTCTCTTTCCTGACTCGTCGTACATGGTCCACTTATTGTCCACACGTCATTTTTTTCGCATTTATTCTTCATGATTTTACGTATATACTCGTGCGTTTACCACAATTTTCTAGGCATTCCTCATACATTTTCCAAAAACTAAACAAAACTCAGTAGGCCACCTCTCTCAGTAACCATCGGACTAACGCTAACCATTTGTTATGTTTCGAACAAACAACTTCTAATGTTATGCAGTATATTTTCAACCAAAAATTTTTCAAATAAATTATGGGAATAGAATGAACAGTATATTATACTTTTCGTGTAATAAATTAGATAGCTCTGCTGCACGGCATGACAATGCGTACACACCCCTGCAATGGAGGCGCAATATCAGAGTACAAGACTGGGCAGTATTTCAATGTCAAGTGGTGGTCTACAACATTCATTAGTAAATGTAAAGCCACTAAAACCATGAATCTGGGAACTGAATTCGCCACAAACCACTTGGGTACGCATTTAAACCATGGCTGGCTGGAGGGTATTAAAGGCAGGCTAGGGGATACACTAGCGCCTTACAACATGAAATACTTTGTTTACAATATCATGCTTAAGTTAGGTTGATTTAACGAAATTTTTCAACAAAAAGATCTGTTTTTTTATTTACTAGTTAAATATATAATCTAACCCCAGTTCTCTATCTAAATGCACACCGTACAGCAACTGAATTCCTTACAGCATTCCGTCGCAGAGCGGCAAGATGGGGAAGCAGTTGCAGGCATTTGCAGTTATATTAAGTAAATGTAGCCAAACACAAGCATGATAGCAGCTGCTCGAGCTCAGTGCACGCCACGCAACAGCTGTGACGCAGCGGTTGCGGCAGAACAAACTCGCATCGCGCTCAGATTTATACACTAATTGCTTGAACAAAGCTCCATCCGTGCAGCACGGCACTGTAAGCAAACATGGAATTCCTGTGAGAGCCTGTAAATGCAAATGCTTCATGACGATCAAAGTCAGAGTGAAGTGTACCAATTTATTTAGGGTAAATATCAGAGCTTGAAACAATTGTTGCACAATTATGGCACTGATACTGAATATAACTGCATTATTCAATCGACTTGAATTTTTTTTTGCAGAATTCTCGGACAACAAATCGCGATAAGTCCAAGCAATCGTACAGGTTGCTTGGAGATGACTAATTTAATCAAGGAGATGACTAATTTAAAACTATGTATAAACGCCAGCATAGAGGAAGGATTAAAGGAAGCATAAATGGGGCATCAAAGGCCTGCGGTTATCGATAGAAATGTTTTTATTGATGAGAAAAAGTGAGAATCGAGAGGAGCTGCGACGGTGCGAGCTAATCAGCAGAGCCTGACAAATGAGATGCCGGGGGCCTGCACATGCAAGGCGCCGACGCCAACCCCTCGGACCCTGGCTGTACCTTGGCGAAATATTCACACTGATGGTTATTGTTAACTTAAATTAAATATATGCAAGTTAATATATTTTTAAAATTATCTTTAGACTGGAATGATGAATAGTAAATTCCCCAAAAGAAGATATTTCTGAAAACAGTTTCATTCGTTCGTGCCGGACGGATGCCATCAAATTTTATAATTGCCTCTACTTTAAATTTCGTTTGCAATTTGTGTAAACTAATAAGTCTTCACGTCAGGATGTAACAACTGGTTTTGATGATTTCAAGATGCAGTGATAATGCGAGAAGAAAAATCAGACCATGCAAATTACGTTTTTTCCCTGTTTCTCGCTAGCTCGTCCCCAACATGATCCTATGCTGAAATAAAAAAATCTTATCAATAATATCTCAGCATCATTGCTAAGAATTTCAATTACTATGTGTTTGCTATTGTACCCGTTCTCAAATGTACACCTTTACCTAAATAATTTGACCTTAATAATATCCTTATGTGGAACGTGTTTCGGTGAGAGAAGAGAATTAGGCTATCCTGACATAATCAGCAACTTAATTACATTTTGAATTAAATTTTGAATTGTATTTTTCATGCCGGGAAATGAGGCGCCTAGCACGCTGCAGGTGAATTTTCATTAACATCTCCGCAACATGAGCCTGACTCTCATCGGTGTGTAATGACGAGTTTGTTCATGTAAGAAATTCGCTGTCTAGAAATTCAAAATACGTTAGTGCAGCACTTCATTCTAGTAAATCGATAAATATAATATTTTTGACATACACTATGAGTTATCAATGTTATCGAATTTTCACTTACGCTACTGCACTCAACTCGCACACAAAATTATTAATTAAATTCATTAATAAAGGTTTAAGGTTTCTATTATCGGTCTGGCACTGCCATTCCGTTCTCAAAAAAGTTAGTCAGGGAAATTTATGGTTGATCTTTGATCGATAAACCCTAATTTGTACTTATGTATCTAGAAAGGAGCACGGTCGAATTTTTATTATTTTAAATTCAACTTGAATAGAATTCATCTTGAATAGCATTCATCTTGGCTAACTGTTGTCTCTGGCTTAATATTTTTGTTACGGTCATTACAAAGTAAAATGGTCGTTACAAAGTACCGCTTTTTCATGTTCGTCCTTTGATATCATAGTTGCCTGTCCTGATTTTATCCAGCAAAAAAAAAAATAATAAAGAAATTGGAACATTTATCCACAAGACAGATTTTAACTTCTTGAATATTCAACTAGATGAGCCAGTGAGTATTAATTGATCCCTTGATTCATATATATTTATCATTGCGTAAACTTATCTATTCTCCCAACAAATCATATTATAAACGCGCTTAAATGATACATAAAAATTGCTTGCCAGTCCCTTCAGGAAAGAAATCCTCAGCTGCTTGTAGCCACACAAATGCACGACTCCTGTTTTTTTAAAGCTTATTGTGGGTTGGCGACGATGCCGTTGTTTGTTGAGCCAACACACCACTGACAGCCAAGCATCGCGTGTCAGCTGCTGGACGGTAAGCTGCCTTCAGCTGCACGTTTGGCCTTGACTTCACAGCTTTCATTCCATTCATGGCAATGGAAGAAGAGACTATGCCTCGTAACGAGCTCCTTTTTGTGCGACTGCATCCATCGAATCAAGCCACCATTCACCGAGTTTAAACACCGTTAAAATGTGCACCCTCAATCCTACCCACAAGCGGGATCGATGCAGCTATTTTGAAATCCCATTTATGCTGGGACTTAAGCGCAATTGATAATTACTCGACATTTTCAGGAACCTCGTGAACTACGAGTGTAAATATTTATATCAGAAAAAAATAACTGCAATAAAAAAGCAATCGATGTAAAATACATCGAAAAATTGCAAAAACACTCACTGCAAGAAATCAATTTCTCGGGACGGGATGTCAATTGTAGCCGATTCCAGTCGAGCTCGAAATCGGGGTATAAAAATTCCCTATTCGGCGAAATCACGAAGGACTCAGAAGGGAAAGACGCCAATGACGATGTAAACTTCATTGAAATTCACAGCCTCAGGAAGAAAACTCGTGCACTCGGGAACAAGACGAGGGCCTCATTTCGTCGAAAGGAAGGCTGAAAATTTCAACAACCAAACAGTCTTCAGAGGTTTAAGAAAAACATTCAGCTATGATAGAAAATTCTTTGCAACCTTAGGCCATTCATCGCCTAGACAAAATCTTTACGAGCTATGAGACATCGGAAAATAATTCACCTTGGCACAACTAAGATGCGGTTTATAAACTTCAAGCGATACAAGAGATGAATAAGAAATATTCGTGGATTTGAGTGATCTGTAATATTATTTGGTAATAAAGTAGATGAACTGGCCATACATGGTAAAGCCCATCCAACTCGGGTGCGAGTTGAGTAGCTTCTCCTGTTGCAGCCAAGTGCTCGTCAAGGAGGTTTCTATCATCACAAAAAGAAGGCGAGAAGCCTTCGATCTGCTGATCTTTCTCCGGCAAACGACTCCCACGTTTACCCTAAAAGAGCATTTGTCAGTGAGACTTGTGCCACGCAATCATTTTTCCTTACCTTTTGAAGAAGCCATGGTGCGTCCCAGCAGAAAAATGAAGGCAGTTCCAGCATTTGGTCGTTACCTAAAAACAATCTATCTTTTTGGGTGATCTGCAGAAGAAAGGGGACTGTATTCAGGTATAGTTGCTGCCTTTGAAAAAACTTTGAACTTTTTTCCTAAGTTTAACAATTGCCATGTAAGTTCAATGTTATTTTCACTATACTGTATATACCCGAGTGCTTTTAAGAAATTGTTCAAGATCCTAAAAAAATTGTTTTCCTCTAACTGTCTATATAACTGCATAGGAAAGTTCACAGAAAATTCGGTGATAGTCCAGTGACGTATTGTCGATTGTCTTGTCTGAATTCGCTGGGCATAAAGCAAAAGCGTGTTCATCCGTAACCATGCGACAGTCAGGAAAAAATTAAAACAGGCCATTCCCTCGCATCGTGAAATTTCTTTGAGGATGAAATTCTTCCGATCACCTTTCAATTTCCAGCCAACCAAAATTCGCTTGGTTTGCTGCAGAGGCAGCATGTTTTTCAGCCACAGAAGTTTTACGGTCTCGTCGTCTGGTGACGGCCGCCAAATTTGCACATAGATTGTCGCGACCAACGCTTCCAAAAATCTGACCGCTTGGAAACAACGTGGAGGTGATCAAGACATCGCTATAGTGAATTTCAGAATAGACTTGAGCTGCTCAGCCTTTACGTCAGCCACAGTTTATTTGTAAGAAAAAAGTAAAAGAGAGGTGGGAAACATCTTGCTTATATTCTGTACTATTGTGTAACACACAAACTGATTAGCGGATGACCCAGTGTATATATAAGTAAAAATCTCAAACAATCGTTAATTTTGAAGAAAAATGCTCCCCTGGGATATAGTTTCGTAAGTTTGGGCTTAGCTGAAATATGGTAGTGTCATGAACAATATGTTGCTTCGTCCCATTGTATTAACAACAGAGCATCATTACCGAATAAATTTGCCTTCATGCAAAAAATATTGAAATCAAAAGATCGTAATTACAGATTGTTTCCATGTCATAAATATTACTAACTGGTACGAATAAATGGTATATTTATTACTCTTCAGTGACTTGCAGACTAGAAGCAGGTAAGGCTCCAAAATCAGTTCTGTCAAGATCCGCTTCGAGGAGAAAACTGCTACTTGAAATGAATCAAGAAGTTTTATGCGCATTAAATCTTTTATTGAGGTAAATGCATCGAATTCAGTGGACCAGCATTAAAATTTTACGTCAAAACCATACATTGGTTACACTAAAAATCGAATATTAAAAATTCTGACACGGAAAATAGCACCGTAATCATTTTTGAATTCGATTTTACATGGGCTTCTCAAGTGGTTGAAGATAGGCTTGAAGCATTTCGGTTACAAAAAAAAAAAGACATCATCTTTCACAAACAGCAACTACAACTAACCGGTATTTACCAGACACTGAGCATTAGATAGTTACTTAGGTCAAATAAAATTAAATAAAAGTTATATCGGGACGAATGGTCCGTCGTACCGTCAGGTATTAATTAAAGGAGGCACACAATACAGATAACGGAGATAACGGTATTTGCGCTTCAGATTTGAAAAGCATCGTAACAACAAAACCAACTGGCCTTCGTCCTAAAGTTTAGCCACATCATAAACCATAGTAACGAAATGGATAATTGGTCTCCACTTAATAGATGGATATTTAAGTAAGGCTCTAATAAAAGTCGGTATAGTCCTTCGTGCGTGAAACACAAGTTCATGCTATACGTTCTTCTTGGCAAAAATAAGTCAGAAGCCTAAGTTATTTAAGAATGTACGGTATAAGAGGATTTAAAGCAAGATCTACAGTAGGATAGAATTTCCAGCACGCGGTTCCTGATCTTTGTTAAGCCTCCTGCAATCTGGCACCAGAAATTACGCAGGAAGGCTACAACCCTTGCAAAGGCATGGGTATCTCGAACCTCAGTTGTTCGTGTAACATCAAATTCGGATAATTGTGGTGCAGATGGAGCAACATTCTGTTCAGGCTCCGCAGCAGCCTCATGCTGCACGGAATCTACAACAGAAGCCGCTGCAGGAGCAGATGTGCTCGAGGGACCTTCAGCTGTCAAGAAGGAGTCATCGTTGTCACCCACAAGTGAAGCCCATGACGAGGCTCCATACAGTCCGCTCCCGGAAGAGCTGCAACAACAAACGAAGCACAGGAGTCCTCAGTGGGCTATTATTATTATCATTATTCTTAATAAATGAATTAACTATGCAATATGTTGTATCTACTCTTGCCCATACTATTAGGCATACCCATTATATGAGTCGATGTTAAATGGTAAACATATGCTTACGTCACTTGGAAAAACGATTGATCAAGACTCACCAGCTGCTAGCCAGAGCCCGTCTGAAGGAGGTCCTGACTCTTACAACTGACGCCTGCAGATGAGCTGACGACAGACGCCTGAGGCGAGTACTGACACTGGTGTCATGCGGCTTCTGAGGGATCGCTGTCGGGGATTCCGATCCGCCGAAGCTCGCTGACTCTTCGGCCCTGCTGGCGGCAGCGAGACTGGGTGACGCGGCCAGGTCTGCCCTGCGGTCAGGTCTTCCTGAGGAACAAAGGCTGTCAGGTCATCCTTATTTTGAGTTCAAGTACGCATTTTCACTCGCAAAAATATGCAAATTCGCATAAGATGGTCATCATTAATGTCAAATTTTATGATTTGCATATGAATTATCGTTCACTCGCTTATGCCTTTAAAAATTAGGTAAACTTGTGTCCTACAAATAGACTTGTGCCCTACAAATAAAACTTATTTAATGAAACAATTTTTTTAGAAAATTATTTTGGTAGAAACTTGTGTTAAGTTCGCTGTGAAAGGTGCATTGCGTAAAAAATTAACACGAATCAGCTGATAGTCAAATTGTTTACTTAGACTACGCTGTTGGATTTTTATTTGTGTCGTACTAACTCTAAATCAAGAAAAAAAATTCATGATGTAGCAATAATTACAGCGCTAAAACACCACCATAATAAACATTATTATTGATAAACACCAATAAGTGCTAGATTAAGTAAATGCACATGCAAAATCCTGATCTAACTCAAATATATGAACGCAATATACATAATACATATATGCCTACTAGCCCACCGTTAGTGCCATGCACGCGTGGCGGGGACAACGCTGAGCCGAGCGCACAATCCCGCATTTCCGGAAACGAGCAGCTCTCCGCGCCCGACTTCTTCTCAACATTCTCGTCAGACACGCCTTCTTTTATTCCATTGTGCACAACAGCAGGTACAGCCGTAGCAGAATAATCGCTTTCATCAGTGTCAGTAAACGTAATTATTTGACCGGTCTTCAAGACAGCGCCAATAATCTTTGGTGTAGTGACTGCCGGCACGGAACTCGAGCTCACACTCCGCGTGAACTGAGGCTCGGTCGGCGTTCGAGGCTTTGTTTCATCGAAATTAGCGTAAAGTTTCTCATCTTTATCGTAAATTTCATTAGGCCTCGCTGTAAACGCTCGACATGGGGACTCGCTGGTTGGTCGGGCTAGTTGGTCGGACTCCTCCGAAAGTTGATTGTTCGGCGATTGCGTCGAGTCATCCTTGAGTTTTTCATCTGACGGCAGCACAGGAATAGCGAGTGCACCGGACATACATTTCAAGTTCGGCGCGGATTCAGCGTCGGAAAAACGTATTTTAATATTGATAGAAGTTTGCTTGCAGCCTCTCGCATCACTAACGTCTGAAACCTCTTTGCTGACTTTGGTAGTAACCAAAATACTTCCTGCAGATCTTCCAAATCTCTTACCCAACCGTGAAGTTACCACATTTTCTTCGTCTCGAAATTTTTGCAAAGTCGCCTGAAAGTTTGCTGCACTTAGAGCCCGTTGGACGGGAAGAGTAACCGGCGTGTCGGCTGAAGAATTTTGCTCATCGGATGCCAGAGCAGCCAAGCCTGTAAATTCTTTGTCTTCCATGTTCCAAAATATTTCTTCTCAACTTCACACTTCTGTCAATTATAGCCCACAGTATGTGAGTTATGTCAGATTGGTGATAAAAATTTTTTTAATGGAACTGGAATCAACTGAGAATTTCACGATTTAAGCACTCGATATACATGTATTTAATAGGAGAAAAAAATTATCAACCGTCGTTGACGAGTGAATACCAAGTAAGAACTAACGCAAGTGGTAAAATATGAATAATAATTTATTATTCAGAAAACGAAAGAAATCAACTGCAAAAAAGCATATCGATGTGAGACGAGATACACAAAGCCAGCAATGAAACGTTACTAATCACCACCGCACCAGCGTATCACCACCGCACCAGCGTATCACCACCGCACCAGCAGATCACCACCGCACCAGCGTATCACCACCGCACCAGCGTCTCACCACCGCACCAGCGTATCTCTCTTATACACATCTAGATGTGTATAAGAGACAGGTGATACGCTCATAATACGGATATGTTCATAGTACGGATATGTTCATAATACGGATATGTTCATAATACGGATATGTTCATAGTACGGTTATGTTCATAGTACGGATGGACTCGTGCATGTCACGGATGTGATACTTTAGACCGGCTTGAGTGTTTACTGCAACATTCGTTCGCGATGAATGCAAAGAATACAATTATTGGAAGATGCCTGCTACAGAATAACGATGAAGCCCATTGCAATACAAACTCAAGACAAGGAAAGATGCAGCCGAAAGACGAAGCAAATGAAATGAAAGTAAGAATGCAGTCAAAAAGCAAAGCGAGATGCTAGAAAAAACAAGGTGCAGACAAATAATGAAGCAAGCTGAAGGAAAGAGAATGATACAGACAAATGATGGCATAAACTGGAGCCGAAAGTAAGGAGGCATGAAATCAGAGGCATGAGGTGAGGCATATGGCAAGTTGAGGCAGTTTAGAGTAAGACATGTGATCGGTAGACGGAAGATTTAATGAAGTATCAAGCTGACGCTTCCTGTTCCTGCTCAAATTGTGTGACTGTAAATTACACGGCTTCTCCCCAGACACTACAATTACATCAGTTTACCTCTTCATGATGTAGATATTATCAATTTTGTAAATAAGTCCATCCATGGAACGATTTAGTGAGATTTTGAGAATTAGCTTCTATGAAGCAATGAAAAGACTGTGAATCTGTTAGCAATACATTTTTGTTCTGAATAACTTTTGAACTCTCAAATTAGAAAAATGTTGCAGGGCAAAAAGTTGTATCATGAATGTTCCTGTGTCCTAATTACCTAATTATGTATAATACAAAGCTGAGATCGTAAAATATGTGTTAATGTTTGTGATCAACTGGATAAAGTCGTTAGAAATAAAGCGATTTCGTACATTATGGTTGCTGTTCTCGTAGATGTAGGACTATCAGTGTATATATATGGTCAAGAATTTGTTAGGATGGTTAATAGGAGAATTTATTTGTATGGTTAAGAATTTATTTGTATGGTTAATAGGATTTTTTATGTGTTTACCCCATATAAAAGATACATGCTTCCATATACTCAAATAAGAAATTTTGGAATGTCCGATTTTTGGAATTTTTTGAAATGTTAAGAGTCAATATTCGTAATTATTAATAAGAATATTATTCCTTGGACCATACCTTTACCCTAAAAAACTGCATTATAAATCTAGTACCAATAATCAGTTCAGTATTCTAATCTGCAGCCAAGAGCCTGCATACCTATGTGGCCGCTGTCTCCGAAGCGACGTTAATTTAGATGATGATATTCACTTGACAACCCATAATATTGTTGTAGAGTTTTTGCTCTCTTCTGAGACTTGTTAATTCATGATGAAGACTAGACTTTCGAGTCGCAGTTTAATAACTATTTATGTCGAGGTTGTCTCGTGATGCACAATGCCCGAGTGTTGTACTTTAACTAAGGATAACTAAACATCCCTATGAATATAATTATTGTTCTCGTGTAAATATTCAATCCCTTTCATTATAATTCCATGTATGGTTTCCTTTGATGTATCGACTGGATAATTAGGAGCTCAACATTTTCAGTTTTCCTCGCGTAAGGATAGGCTTCTAGATCACCCTAATAATATTAGAAATTATTCCTCATTCGTCCAAGTCAATAGAAAATAATGTAAAAATTTTAATCGTTCCAGCAATTTCACACGCAAGGATCTCGAGCGAGAAAGCAGCTCAGAAAATTACAACTTTAGAATGAAAAAAATAATAATAATATAATCTAAAACAGTGCTTCAAACTTTCTGAAGTTATGTCCTAAAACTTTCAGGGCAAACTGAAGCGGTAATGTTATGTTTTATCGACTTAACGAAGAGCTTTCAACCAAACCGAGTATATTTATCCGTGATCGGACTAATAATCGGACTATCGTGACTAATAATCCGAGATCACGATTAATAACCGATTATATTTATCCGCGATCGTGATTAATATTTTAGGAAGCATCAGGTAGCATAACTGAAGCAAAAAAGTCCAAAGCAAATATTTAGTTTTATTCTTATATCCTATCGCGTTTGTAATAAGGATAATATTAGCTACTGTTGCTCGATGTAATTGTGATGTGTTATCGAAGTTTCGTCATCGTACGTGTAGGTATTTATGTCCAATTTCCTGTTTACCATGTTATCATGATGTATATTCTTTTTGTTTCTAAAACTTTGTCCTTCTTGGATGTTTTGACTAGCCAACTGCTGCGGAAATTGCACTTTATTGATAAACTGCACATTTATTCCTCGAGCATCGAATATTGTTTCGTGTAACTATTGTTTTAGTTGTTAGACGCACGTAAATCAAAAGCGATGAGGCTTCCGCTATATTTGTACGGTTTATCTTTGTTCTCGGTGGTGATTTACATGCTGAGGAGTCACTCATCATTGCTCAATCACATTCTTCTTTGACAGGTTTGCTTTGTATTTCATTTAAATAAATACACTTCGAACAAAAATTAGAGTTTTCAAGGTCGCCTCCATCAAATACGTTCAGGCTCTATGATTACTTTTTATTCATCTCCATAGATATTAGGCCATCATTGATTGATGTGTATCCTCAATTGCTGTGTACAAAATATACTCTTCGTGGCCAAAATTTGATATGGTTAATGTTTCAAAGGCATTTTAGTGAATTATAAATTCCTCTGCGATAATTTGAAGAGTTAGGTACAACTACTGCTCACGACGCAGCAACTTATGCATAATTTTGCAGAGGACTTATTTTAGGAGAAGTCAGCCTCGCTTATAATACATTAGGTCATTTGGATCAAGACTTTTGTTCCTGTTGACGGACAGCTTAGGAACAAGATTCACTGGACCTGCTTCGCTGAAGAAATATTGCCATCCTTTGTTCAGCAGCTAAATAGAGATAAATTCTACACAACTACATTCCGTGCTGAATATCAAAATATTCACTTCTTCCCAAGAGAATTCTTGTCGAGAAGTTTTTGAATAACCGAGACGATGAACTATAGTAAAATTTCATCTTATAATGAAAAAATAAATATGTTATAAAAAATTGTTAGAGTAAATTATTCTTTGAAAACTTTTCAACATAATCGCATAAAAATTAAAATATACGCAACTTCGTTTGCTCTGTGAACATTAAAGAAAATCTGGCAGAAAATGCCCCTCATAAGAGCGTCGCATCTTACGCACTCCTCGACCCAGAACCCAACATTCCAATAAAATGTATTAAAGGCAGCATTTGATGATTCCAGTCATTTCAGTTCATCCTCCAGCGACCACATTAATTAGCATCAGGTCCATATAAAGCTCGCGCTGTGCTATCTTTCGTTACTTGATTATTCTTTCGAGGAATAATTATAAAATTTTTAATTGATTTTTGCTCATAAATTCATACAGCTAAGAAAAATTGTAGAAATTAGACGTAGGCCAGATTTTTAAAGACACTTATTCAGAATTTTGAAACCCAACAGGGCCGAATTTTCAACATTTTTAACCTTCATGCAGTTGTTTGGAATTCATGTTTTCAAGTGTTAAAAAATATCAAAGTTTCTTGAGCTGTGGCAACTTGAGCCATCGTACACTGCCTCCTAAGCGAATATGAGAGTTTTCTTAAGAAACTTGCTTGAGTAAACTTTTCACGATAAATTGGCGCATGAATAACGAAGTTTCAAAAATGTTCCGGGATCTGCTTGTAAAGCATAAGATTTGACAGGCAAGTACCATTTGATTGTAAACTGGGAGATTGAAGCTGTGAATTGCCTTCTTGTATTATTTTGATCTTCCTGACTTCTCAAGGTCTAGCCTAACCTAATTACGTATATGGATATCAGAGCTGCGATATGTTCATGTATTCTATGCGGTTATGCTGTCTAATTAAATCCTTGAGAATTCTTTGCAATTAAACGCAAAAATATTTTCGTGTCTTAAAATATTTTTTTTAAAGGTTCGAACACTTGGAATTTGTAACAATTAACAAAATTAGGATCAACATTGTTGATTTTGTACAATTTTTCGGAATAACTTTTCAGTTCTTACGTCAGCTTGGCAAACTTAAGCTCTCGAGCGAGGGCTCGTTTCTCTGCCAACTTAAGATGGGATAAGAAACAAGAAAACTCTCTGGAAAATTACAATAAAGTCCTCGAGAGTTTAAAAAATCACTAAAATAAAAGTTTGCTATTCACGGCCCAATTCTCCAGTAAATGCATTTGTCAAGAGTTTTTATCGCGGTACAAATTGCATTCTAGTGTTGCCCACAGACCAAGCTGAACTGCTGAATGCGGCACTGTTAAAATTGACGTTATGAAGACAGACAAAAAAAAAACTTTGCGATGCTTCATGGATGCATTAGGATAAAGTGATTTAAAAACAATAAGATTTATTGAAAGATATAATATCACAGGTACTTTTTATCCGCTGTACAGGGTACTGCATTTAAATATACACTTGCACATGAAAAAACAAACATTTTCTTTTTTATTTAAACAATATGTGATTGATTGTAAGTGTTTGTTCTTATAATAAAACTGCGAAAATCTCTTCAATATAGTTTATATTCATGCTTTAAAAAATGGCCAGAACATTCATTATGCTTCAGTGCACGTTTTCGATCGCCTCAAAAAGAATACATAAGACTGCTTGAATACTTACCGATGAATTACAGATTCTTTGTCCTGTTCCAAGACAATTAAATGCCAGATGTGTGAGGCAAATCACGAGCATATTGCACGTTCTGTGCGAAAAAGTAACAAGTAGCTTGTTTGATAGCTTTTACT